TTCCTCAGTCGATCTTCACACTCACTGTGCTTATCAGATGATGCTAAGTGAAGCGGTTGCAATTGTGTGTGCCCCTTCACACAAACAGTGGGTTTTCTTTTAAAAATTGTTTCCACATGTTTTATAAACAGCTTATATCAATTTCATAGAATGCATAGTTTTGTTCTTGGTTTTCCTGAGTGTCGGAGTATGGAAACGAAGCATTATTTTCACTTTTTTATGGTTTTGCTTCCAACTTCGAAATTACAACCTATTCGCGCCTTCCACCTTTGTGTCAAATATTATATTCTTGACTTTTTGGAAGATCACCACCAACAAGCCCATAGTTCACTTAGAACGAAGTTATTTAGGTAGATGATAGGTGAACGTTTTTGTAATCTCAGAGCTCTTCTTTTTTCAACGATTGCATTAAGGGCCATTCTGGTAAAGTCGCTATATTGAGGGTAGCATCAGCTGCCAGCTGACTGCATTTATGGTCAGGCGGCTGGTATTTGTGGCGTTTTTGCTCCGCTCCCCTTATGTTTCTATTCGTTTTTTTTTACACTGATGCTTACTATATTGTTCCATCTTCCTCCTTCATCCATGTGTTTAATCTAGTGTTCTTTCTCTTTTATGGTTTCTTTTTTCTCACTCCCTGGTATTATTTTCTAGCTATTTCGCACATTACCAGCTATTGACTTCGAACATTCCACACTCCCGAAAAAAAAATTCGGAACCTGGTTGAAGGAACAACCTTTTCAAGTTCAACAACCAGGCTTGTGTGTTTTGTGTATTTGTTTGCTATTTTTGCTCGTCTTTTGCTACGTTATGATCCCATGCATAGGGTAGTAGCAAGAGGCTCTACTGTCACACTCATGGACTAGGTTATAATCTTGAATGGAATCTGGTCCAACTCAATCGGAGCTCCTGCGCCGTCCTGTTCAAATTGGCTGTTTGGTAATTGTTCGCCTGGCAAGGCGGAGTCTCTAAAATTTGCAACAACTAATTCATAATTCATTTCAAAGGCCAAAGTCTTGAGGTCGCTTTGAGTCGGCATTAAACTCGGATGTGTGGCGACATCGAGTTGTTCCGAAGGTCTCCCACTCCCCATTAGTAGCTCATTTTTCAATGCATTTTTTTGTGAATGGTGTTGGAGATACTGCTACCATTTCATATGCAGTTAGAAAGCGCATTTCTCGATCTATCTCACTATACCGTCATTTTACACAGGGTCACTATTTTTCGAAGCTTGAATAGGGTATACACAATAAGCTGTTCTTCACGAGTTCTTCGTTTCATATCAAATTTGGCCGGAAAAGTGCGGAGTAAGTCGTGACATCGACTGAGCATTTGGCTCCGAATCCATAAAAAGCTCTGCAGTCATGATTCGAATATCTTTCTTGCGATGGTGGAAGCTTCGAAGAAGATAAAGGGGTTGTTGAATATCGGAGATTGACAAAAAATAACTGAGGGTTTTGATCAAGCCCAATCCACATGGAATTGTTGAGCAGGCCGCTTTTGAATCAGGCGTAACCGGAAGGGCTCCCAACAACTCAGGTTGGGAGAAATATCTTAAGAAGTCGACAACGGGTTGCCGCCGACTCTTCTCCCACAATGACGCTATCTCGCACTTCTAACCAGACACAAGTTGAATTAGCTGAGCCAGGAAAATGTGAGGCGAACATGTTGCTCAGTAGACGTCTCGCCTACCAACAGTCACTTTTCCAACCATCTGGACCACTTCTACAGAGAGATTCGGCATTGAATGATGATGGTGAAACGACATTCTCCGAGTCTTTCGCCTACAGAACTGTAGCACTTTCAATTTCCGGATATATTTAACGCATATATTCTTCTAGGCAATGGTACGGGGATTTTATTTCGATCAAAATGCTTTATTTGAACCGAAATATGCGCTTGTAAATTTTAGGGTTAAAATCTGCGTTTTCGAACAGCCAATAAAACGATTGCCATCTTGGAAATTCCTTCAAACATCTCTGTTCTTCGCGCGGGAGACTTTGCACTTTGGGTGAACACAATGCCACTATGCACTTGATCCGGCGCTGTTTTCGTTTCGCTTTCGCTGTTTTCGTGGTCTGGGTTTCGCAACCGGACAGAAATTGTTACTACCGTTCATTCCACGCAGCCCGTTTGTCGCTCTTTTTCGGTGTTCCTCAATCCATATTGGGCAGAGAGTTCGGTTCCTCCTCGATTGTGGATAAGTTGTGGCCATGCTTGTACTGACGTCCTGGTTACTCAATTCACTTTTCATAGCTTTGTTCGGGTTACGATACTCTTTGCAGACCGCGGTGGTTACAGGGCGTAAAGTTACGTTCTAATTTCCCTTCGAAAGGCCCTGTCTAATATTGTGACACTGGATAGGACTAGCTCAATGTGGCAGTCTTTTCCTTTCTGTGCACGGATAGTGTGTCTGTCGAGGCTTGATTGCTTTATTTTTTCGAAAAACCGGCTTTGTATTCAATGAACAGCATTTGGTGATAGGTGAATTGGGTGAACCACGCAGCGGCGCGGCGTCTCTCAAGCGCGGTGGCACTAAGCTTTAGCCTAGGAAGGAGTGGGTACGCTGTAACGGTGTGATTTGTGGTTTCGCTTGATTTCAGAATCCAACTTTTATCCCATTTGAGCGTCCTTTCCTATGTGCCGGCTTTCGTGCCGTCTGCGCTTGAGACGCGCCCGCCACGTTTTCCCCCCCTCCAATACACTTAGCGCCTATTATTGTAGGTAACGGATTAAATTATTGCTCTAAGTTATCGAGATCGTTCGGTCTAATCCAACGGTATCCGAGTTGACCTCTCAGTTGTGATGCAGCTGGGTGCTTCACATCCGTTATAAAAAAAAAAGATAAGAAATTAATATTGTCTAACTTGTATGCTTTGCGACTTTCCATAAAAAACCAAAAAAAAACCGATTCTGAAAGAAAACCTGATTCTAAATGACTCTTTGTCACTTTGTTTGGGCACTTCTGGAACCTCCATAGCACCTCACGCTATTGCTTATGCGAGGTTGTCCTCGTTGTTGTCGAGGATGGCAGGGTCGTTCTTTGAGCTCGTTGCTATTTACGTTGCTCCCCGCCGTTGTTTTCGTGCTCCACGTTTCGCAACCGACAGACGTCACGAGTCTGTCGCTCATTTTCAAGCAACCAGTTTATCACTCTTGTTCAAGGTGATTTTTGTCAACTCGCCGTGGATAGGAGTCTGTAACTCCTCTCTGTGTACATTCATACATGTAATTCAATCCATATCTCACAAATAACTCCTATTTTCGAAGTTCCTCTCCGGAACTCCCACCGAATATTTTGTTGTGTTGATTGTCATGCGAAAGAATGACGTGAACTTGCAAGTGAGGTATGTATCGTATGGGATGTCAAAGAAGATCTCGAATTGATTTCTCCACATATCCTGCACGATTCATCGACACTCCACTTTTCTGTTCCCCGACGACTAATTGACCTGACCCCAACTTCATTTGTCTTGTGCAGGTTGAAGTCTTTTCGTTTATAGTATAAAGGCACGCTCACGCTCAATCTTCTAAGCATCGTTGTTTCTTCCTCCATTAAATTACTTTAAACACTGAAATTATAACACTGAAATGCATAGAGCGTTCTTCGCGAATTCTTTTCGCCACTTCCTCTGTCATCTCAGTTTTCGTTCTTCCGTTCATATTGTACGCTTGCAGTCCTATTTCTCGTTGTGATTTCAATGTTTTGCAATGGCCTCATTGCAGTTGTAGACAGTGTCAACCGTGCGTTCGCACTATTCGAACGAGGGGTCGCATTTGTGGTTGGTTTTGGGAAGGGGGTCGCATTCAGGGTTTGAGTGGGATTAGTAATTTGTTGAGTGAACGATGAGGTGTGACGCACAGCGTGGGTGTGGTTCATTAGGACAGAAAGCGGCTTTTTCGCGTTTCGCAGCGCGAAACATTTTCCGCTGCGGGAACCTCAGGTCCACCGCTGATCATCAGTGGACCCGAGGTTCCCGCAGCGAATCATCAGTGGACCCGAGATTCCCGCAACGAACAATGTTTCGCGCTGCGAAACGCGAAAAAGTCGCTTTCTGTCCTAGTGAACCACACCCGCACAGCGTGAGGTAGGACGGTGGGAGGAAAGGAGATTCTGCACTATTACACTCCTCCCCCCGCTCGACGGCCATTTTGGAGGAAAAAAATTGTTTTGGACCGGACACAGTCAAATATAACTGCCAAGCCATAAGCACCAACTATTTGTCAATAGGGAAATAGATTCATGGAGAAAGTAAACTGGCGTTTTTGCCCTCTATTTTGAAGACACATTCACATCGTGCCTGAGTTGGTTATGTCATCGGTATACAAAGGTGGAACGCATCGTTTTGTACTCCTTCTGACTAGTAAAGGACGCCATTCGTTACGGGTCCCACTGCCTCCTGCTACAGTGAACCCTTCAATGTGGAGCGGGGAATCCGTGAGCCAGGGGCAGTGTCGCCAGTCTAGGGGGGTGGGGGGTGAGGGCAGACACTTGACATGCGTGAGAAGCTGGAATGTTCGAATTCAACCGCGATCACATGGGATCCCCGCGGGTTAAGGCAGTGGGTCCCGCAACGAATGGCGCCCTATACTAGTCAGTAGGAGTACAAAATGATCACTCCCAAAAAAGTCTAGGTTAGAAAGC